CTCATTTATTTTTCACACGATAAATCATCTTTCCAATTAACAATCGAAGTAAAACAAATAGTTCTATTCCACAGTCGTTATTTGCACCGACTTTTAATTATTTATTCAAGATTTTCCGACTGAATTTGCTTCTTCGAGAATTCATTTGTGCACGAAACTCGAATGAAAAATATCTGTGGAATTCATCATTCGTGCACCATATTCAATTTGTAAATTCCCGGGCTTCCCTCCTTGGTGCGTGTGGTTGTATTGCACTGCTACCAACTTCGTAACAAAAAAATGATAGGAGTTGATGTGAAATGCGAAATGTGCATGTATGAACCCGTTGCTATGCGTGTACTTTTTTAAATATTGCTTCGAACAAAAAAATAGTTACATCAATGAGAAGCTTGTGGCCAATTTATATAATGTAACTAAGAGTATTTTTCATGTAGCTCGTCACGTTTGTATTTTATTTAATGGATATGATTCGGAGGTAGTGGAGGGGGTAGTTGCTTCGTGTATAGATACACGGCAGCGATCGGCCTGATGTTTTGTACAATCGGAGTCAAAACTTTTCTTGGCCGATACGCTGCCGCGTATCTCGATTGAGTCCTGCATCATGCAGAAGTTTTGAAAAATTATGAATGAATAATAAAAAAAAAGTAGAAGAAATTCTTAATTTTTTCAAAGAGCATTTTTAATTTACATTCAGAATAAGTTGAATAACAAGAAAGTGAAAAATGTATCTGATTTACGGTGACAAATGGCGGCTTGTCACCTAATATCATGCAAGGGAAAGACTGATTTCGTAAATCTTTTCCCACACTGCACAGAGACATTTATTACGGAAAAAGCTCTTTGAAAAAAGTTGTAATATTTTGGAGAATTTTTTAATCATACTTTTATCACATAAAAATGACAGATGACTACATACCACTGTTTTGAAAATTTAGATACCTAGCTGTCACTTCCCATGAGGAGTTAGGGTTTTGTTATCCACCGTGGAAAATGACAGCTAATAGATAATTTGCCACAACGAATCAGATATTTGTAATTTCCATTTTTTTCAACTCATTCTGAATCTCAATTGAAAACGCTCTTTGAAAAAGTTGAGAATTTTTTCTGTTTTTTTTAATCATTCTATCATAATTTTTGGCAATTTCTACATGATGTACCATTCAATTGACAATTTTGGATTACGAAAGATGAAAAAAAATCCAGATAACATTCGAAAGATAGTACACCCGGGCCTTAATCCAATAACTCCTCCCACCCTCAGACTTTCATTTACGTAGAAAATCCGAAATTATATAAACTAAAAGAATGACTCTAAGCATTGATACTAAAGGTTTTTGTGTTTCTTTAGACTATTTCATCGTAAAAAATCATGATGTATCGTTTCGCTGGAGCTCTATTCGTTTTCATGTTTTCCATTGCTTCTTCTTATTAAATTCCAAATATACAACGTGAGAGAGAGTTCTAGAAACAGAATCACATGCAATTATCAGGGAATTTCAGAAAACAAATTCTGGATAAAGTTGTTCAAATCGATCCCCTCCATCCATTCCCCCCAAATTTGTTAACTGCATTGTTTAAAATTACAATAGCTATCTACAAACTCCGAGTATAAGTAATTATCTCAGCCTCTCAGCGTCTGATAAACTATCTCCAACCCCTCTCGGTCATTATCATTTTATTCTTATTTGATTGAGTTTTATCATTGAATACACGATGATAATTTATCAGTTCTGTTGTTAGTGGAATAATGATAAATTTAATTACTGAATTTTCCAGAAAATCGAGCCAGGAAAACTTTAATCTCTCATAATCCCTTAATTATTAGCTCAACAAAGAGGCTTATCTTATCTCATGTGCCTTCAGATATCTTTTCATTTGCACTACCAAGTCATAAATTGTAGTGAAGTAAAATTGTGTCGTTTCATCGTATTTAAAGACGCATAAAAATGATATTAATCTGTACAATTTTTTAGATAACGAAAAGAAAATAATTAACATCGTGGCTGGGGGTTCTTGTGCTATTGCCTAATGAGCTAAAAAAATATTTTAGAGCAATTAACTCACAAACAGGAGCTAGATGAAGTGAAAGTAATAGAGAATTGAATGGTTGTCAGTCAATCCGATAATGTACTAATTTCTAGTGTCTTGTCGACTTTTCGTTGCGCAATTTTGTGAAACATTTCCTATAAAACATGATATCTGCGATAATTATATGATTATTTCCGTGAGGAGTGGTTATAGAGGAAATTGTTTAGAGATAATTTAAACATAAGAAAGATTTCGCCAAATTTTCTCCCTAAGCTACTTATTACTAAGATAATTCCACAATTATAAAGATGAAGAAACATATTAAATTGTGACATTTTTGCTGATTAATTAGCTCTGGAGAACTTTTTATAAAAAGGTCCCTTGATATTCGAAATTTGAATTTAAAAAAACGTGATGTCTTTTATGAAAGAGGTTTCTATTACCGAGATAATTCCACAAAGGAGTGGAAGGGTGTGAAATTTTTCTCTAAACTCACTGAAAAATCAATCCATTACAGAATTCTCTAGTCATTTGAATTTTCAGGTGTGTTTCGCATTTTATGACATAATTCTTTGTGACCTATTTGTAAGTTTGTTTTCAACGTTCGTTGAGATAATTATTTGACAATTGTCATTGGTGAACAGATTCCGGAGCTCTCAAAGCAAAATATATAAGAATTATTCAGGAGAATCTGCTTACAAAGACAGCAGTGTATAGCAATAATCCCCAGGTGTCTGGGGATCGTTAAATCAATGATGTCTTCGATAATGCTGCACAAAATGGTGATATTTGTATTAATCCTGGAATTATCTCAGTAACGAGTAATTCTATGGGAAAACAGCGGAGAAAATTTTCTTAAACTAAGAAAATTGTTACAAGAAGGTTACTAGAACCGAGATAATTCCACAATTGAGCGGAGAAGATCAGTAATTTTCCTGTAAATTTACTAAAAAATCCATCCACTATGGAATTCTATTGAGTCATTTAAATTTCCAGGTGTGTTTCGTATTTTGTGACATAATTCTTTGTGACTTTGTCTATTTATCAGTTTGTTTTCAATTTTTGTTGAGATAATTATTCGGTAATTGTCATTCGTGAACAACTTCCAGAGCTCTCGAAGCAAAATATACAAAAATTATTCAGAAGAATGTGTTCACAACGACTCAGCTGTGTATAACAGTGATCCCCAGGTGTCCGCAGATCGTTAAACCAATGATACTCCACAGTAATTTCAACTACACCGCGAAAAATGTGTCTATGACCTTTTGGATAGGCTCTGGACGCTTGTGGAGATCGATTGGGGGATCCTCGGACTCGGCGTGTTGGTCTCTGAGCTCTTTCCACAGTTGAAGGATAGCTTCGTACTCTCGAATCTTTTCGAACTCTCTCATCTCGGTGTAAACGTGGAGGAGACCACGATAGTCGTACTCCAAACCACTGTAACTCTTCCCAAATAATTTTAAATCTGAAAGAAATTAAATCAAGAATGATTTCCAAGGTTTGTAAAAATTGATTTTGAATTTTTGAAAGAGTTTGGGGACTTACTGATGGCAATACTGCGATAATACAATTGCTCAGCATCTCTGTATCTCGCCATGTGGAAATTGTAGAGAGATGCGAGGTGACCAATGCTCAGACCTACTTCGTAATCATCAGAACCCAGGAGTTCTTCTTTAATTTTTATGGCTTTCAAGTGCATCACTTCAGCTTCCTAAAATGCATGTCATTGTAACGTGATGCAATTTTTTTTTCATTTCAATTCATTTGGTTTTTGAGAGATTTTCTCTTAGTTTAAAACGTTCTTGGAAATTTATAAAGAGATTTTTATAGGAAATTTTTTGACCCTAAAAAAATTTTGCTGACATTATGTGAATAGAATAGATCCAGAGATATTTGTAAAATCATCTGCAAAAGAACTCTAGATTAATTCGTTCAATTTTAAGAAAACCTTCCTCTTACATAGCAAATATTTCGTAAATTAAATTTTCTAAACTATCAAAAAGGTCATTCAATAATTCGTTTATAAATAAATAAGGAATCATAGTGCCAAGAATTTGCATCGCTCCTAACGAAGTAAACGAGTCTAAAATTCACTTGCACATTATTCTGCAAATATCTCTGGAGCTAGTGGATTGGACGAAAATTACTTTTGTGATCCATATAAATAAACCTGTAGTTCTCATTCATTTAGACGAAATTTTCTAAGTAAATTTTAGAATTATTCATTCAACCCCAAAAATTAATCAATTCTAATAATTCTCTCATAAATATTTTTCAATTGAACAATTTTACAAAAATTAATGAAGACCTTTTCTGTGGATAATTTGAATAATGATCCTCCATAACAATGATAAAAAATAAAGTAATAATTACATCAAATCTCCTCATACTCTGGTACAATCTCCCCAAATTGCCATAGTGCTTTGCAGTCTGTACATTACGTTCACCAAAAGCAGTTTGTGCCAGTTGCAGAGCAGACAAATGCAGATCTTCGGATTTCACCAATAAATCCTCCTCGGTCGTTGGTGCATTGTCAAGTGCAATTTCCTCCAAGATTAAAGCCTTAACTCGCTTGGCACTTGCCAGCATAAGGTGCTCACTCGGTAACAATTTCTCCATTATCTCGATGGCTTTGGTGGCGTGATCGTTCGCAGGTGTAAATCTCCCGGAGCTGTAGTCCTGGACGTACAAAGCGTATGCAAGGTCCTCGTGTGCTATTGCGACATGTAGGTTCATTTTACCGAAGATTGTTTTCCTTATTTCTAGTGCTGTCTAGAACGCAATTGATAAGAAAACACTTTTATTGGTCACGTTGGGAATTCGGAATTGGTAATCAGGTGATTAGCGCCAGAGTAAGTGGTTACATATATTTTTTTTTTCGAAGTTTGCTACAAAAAAAGGTTTCAATCATTTTCTAATTATTTATTCACCTGGAAGACAAATAATGTGCTTTTGCTTGAGTAAACTTATTGTTTTAAAACTGCATTAACTGCTATTAAAATTATTCATTATGCAATTTCCATCACCTATTTGATTATTGTACTCAATGAATAAAAAATACAGTTACAATTACAGTTCAAGAATGAATCGATTACTTAATAACTGGAACAGTCGTTGATAAAATATAACAGAAAACAAAGAGTTATTGAAAAACATGAAACTTGGAAAATGAATAATATAAATCCGATAGGATAATTAATCTAATTGTAAATATGCAGAATTCAATTAATTGTTAAAGATTTTGTCTTTATGAAAATAAAAGGGAATAAAATGAATGAATAAATAAAGGCCAAAGCAATCTCACCTTGTAAACAGAGACACTGTTGACAATGCTATCATAATTCAACAAATAGAATCCATAATCTATTAGAACATCGCAGTATTTAGGATGATGAGTGTCAAAGACTTCTCGAGCCAGATAAACAGCTTGACGAATAAGCAAACCAGCCTTCTGGAACTCGCGTTTGACAACACAGGACTTGGCTGCTTGTCTGAGAACATCAATAGTGATACGCGCTGGCACGGTGGGTTTGAGTTCTCTCAGAGCAGCTACACTCCATCTGTACGCCTGATCGTACTCACTCCTGATAAAAAATAGTACACTGAATTCGGCGTAGAGTGCAGCATGACTGCAGTCCTTATAGCCAATTGCCTCGAGTTTCTTCACTGTTGCCAGAGCCAATTCGTGGGTTTCAGCTGCTCCCCTGAAGGCACAGTACGCTGCCTGAGCATGCAACAACTTGTGACAACAGTCGAGGGTGCGACACAAGGTCTCAGGGGTCTCAGACTCCTGGGAGGTGGACATTATGCAGAGATTCTTGCAAGCATTTAGGGCTTCCTCACTGTCTAGGTACCAGCCACTGTCGCTCAGGAAACTTCCCAGACGAAGGCCTAGGTTTATTACTTCCTTTTTGGCGTAGGGCTTCTTTAAGACTTCCAGGCAGCACATGCTGTATGCTACCACTATGTCGTTTGCTATCTTTGTGCCGTGATCCATCAGTGACTGGAAGAATTAGAAGTCGAGGGTGAGGGTTGGATCAACACGACGGTTTTGGATAATTTTTTTTTTACATTGATAAGGTTAAGCTGTTAATAATTTTTATCCATTGAAATTTGAAGGAATTGTGATTTTTGGGGTTGACTTTTTTATTTAAAAAATTTAGGGAAACTGTTAATTTCAGTTCAATTAATCCATGAAAATTAATAGAAATCAGGAGAATTCAGATGAATATATTACTAAATTTTTCATCAATTAGAACGTCAAGACAGTTGGAAGATTGTCGTCTTCCCGCTATTAAAAAATTTGGAATTTCATCAAATTTTCAGTAAAACTTGAAATTTCGTAGTTTTGTCTCTCTTAAATCGATCGAAATCTCGTTCTCCCAAAGATTACTAGTAAACTGCTAGTGATATACATCCAGAGAAATGACCCATTCGTCTTGAATAAAACTCTGCATTAAAAAACTTTTTTACTCATTTGAGCAAGAGTTTTACTGAGAATTAATAATCTCAATTCAATAAAAATGATTGAATTCTACGAAATACATAATTCATCAATTTCAAATAAATTCTCTATTAGAATCGAATGCACGATTCATTTGTGGAAATAAAGGATTATTATGTGTTAATCATTTCGTTCAATAAAATATAAAGCGTGATGTCTTCGATAATTATGCGTCAAAATTGTGACGTTTTTATTGATCTTAGAATTATCTCAGTAATGAATGATTCTAGTGAAAAACGTCTGAAGACTTTTTCTTAAACTGAAAAAATTTCCTGCAAAAAATGCGTCTAATCCCGAGACCATACCACAATTGAGTGGAAAGCGTCTGACATTTTCCTCTGGACTCATTGAAAAGTTTAGCCACTACAGAATTATATTCAGTTCTTTGAATTTTTAGGTGGAGTTCGTCTTCTGTGAGGTGATTCTTTGTGACTTTGTCTATTTGTCAGTTGGTTTTCAATGTTCGTTGAGATAATTATCCGGTAATTATTATTCATGAACAGATTCTCGAAGTAAAATTTACAAGGATTATTCAAGAGAATCTGTTCACAACAACTAACTAGTGTGTAGCAGTAATCTCAGGTGTCTGGGGATCATTAAACCAATGATACTCCACAGTCATTTGAATAACACCAAGAAAAATGTGTCTATATTGATTATTAAAACCGTCAATTCCACCTTTTTCTCCCTGTTCGAACGTTTTTTTTATTTGAAATAAATAAGTTCGTATATTTATTTCAAGAAAAATGTTTTGATTATACCAAATAAATAATTCAATTCCAAAAGAATCCCAAAGGATCATTAAGTGATAATAAATTCGTTCTCTTCGTCGTCTGAACAATAATTTTATGCAAAAAAACATCACAAGAGAATTTTGCATGTAATTCCTGACTAAACCAATGAAATCACCAACCTGAAACATCTGCAGTAAGTCAATCCTCCTATTCCTGACCTTGAGCATTCTTGAGAAAATGTCCATGTGCGTGAGTTCCTGTGACAGTAGGCAGAGTCTCTTCTCCTTGTACAACTAAATAAAAAAAAAACAAATAAAAACCATGAATTCCTTGATCGTTGCATGCGTCAATCAAACCAACAAAAATTATCATTCGACCCGTCTCATAAACAAAATAATAAACCTCATCATTTCCAGTTCCTAACAATGATTACATCCAATCCATGAAGCTAAATAAACAATAAAACAATCGCCTGCAGCCACCACTGAGTCACAATCACAATTCCATTCAATTGTCGTATTATCAGAATTTGACGTTTTGTTCGAGTTTCTAAAGAGTCTCCACGCACACGATGACGTAGAATCGTATCAGTAACACTAACAAATTAATTCTACGATGTTAATTAGTCAATTAAAAATTAAACTTTGTCCCAAAGAAAATGTAAAATATCCGTTAAATAAACACGAATAATTAATTATTCATCCTCGTTTTTCTTTATTTATGACCAAAACGAAAACAAACAGTCATAATGGTTCAACAATCTTAATTAATCGATTAAAAAATAAAAAAAATATCCTAAATGAAACGAAAAATAGGTGTTAGTAAATAGTAATAATCATTCATCATCGTTTTAATATTTTTGATCGAAATAAAAACACATTAATGGACAGCACTCATTAATTGAGTAATTAATAATCCAGACGTACCTGATGATAAATATCGAAGACCACATTGTCTGGTAAATACGCAAGAGATTTTTTATAAGTGACGAATCCCTTGGCCACTGAAATAACACTCAACTCATAAAGTGTTTTTATCACATTAGCTTGCAATACAGCCTGTGAATCGCGTGCCTCAGCCATTTTATAACGACTAAAAGGAATGATTGATCTATTCCCTAGAAACAATGTAAATTCCAACCGATCTACTCAAAACATCAAACATATGCACTCGATGACTTTTTCACTTTCCATTCGTTCCCTCCCCCCCGCCGCCGCCACCGCGGAACATCCCGTAGGACTCCTTTGGTCAGTGCAAGAACAAAAGAAAAGGGAAACTGAAATGAAGGGATAGTTGATGACAGGAGAACGCGTTGCGATGCACTTCGAGCTGTGACTGATGGAATTTTTAGGTTCAGACGGAGGGGGATAGCTCAGTTTGTAACGTTATGTAGCCATATTTGAATCAACTGGGGTGAAATTCTCCGCGTTTAAGGTACCTTAAAATCCTTACGTTTAATTCTCCGCCAGGGGGAGTTTTGCGTTAGTTTCGTTGAGTTTCCGAACGCTACTTGCCTTCGATTCTGGAGAGGGGGGAAACGACGAGAAGCCAGAAATAACGAATAATAACTCCGAAAGAAATTCTACCCAGATTTATCTAAATCTTCGGAAAAAATTGTAAAAATCCGTATCGTGCTGTGATAAATTATCCTTGGAGTTGATTTCCACAATTAAATCATAATTTCTCACGTGTAAGAGAGACAATAAATGAGCTACTCCAATTCGGTATGTTTACCTTGAACTCATATAAAATGATGATATTATGTGAATAACCCAACTCACTGTACTTTTTAGATGAAAATATGTTGCTTGATAGCAGGACTATATTTTCAACAGCAGGCCTCTTGAAGAATCCACGTCGGAAACGTCACGTCTTGCAACAATATGGGATGATTGTGGGGATCAAATGTCTCCACGCTGCCTATTAACAGGTATCTATGCTTCGAAAAAATTCGATGTTTCTGCTATGATGTGACAAATGTATACAATTTCTATGAGATACGAGCTTACAGTAGCGTAAGTATCCTGAATCTTTGACGCTGCTGTATCTTCTATCCTTTTAGTTATGAGCTTTTGAAGAACAATGATAACGATATTATTGAAACTAAAATCTTTATAGATCAGACTTTTAAACTTTTTCAATATAATACATTATGTGAATTGTGGAATGTGCATGAAAATAAAGCCATGAACTCAATATTTCTTTTCATTCTGATTTCTTTCCGTTTCCTTCTCCTCTCCTTCTAATGAGTTCTCTCATCACTGTCAGACTACTGGGACATATTTAACAACTAAAAAATGATACACATATATCCCCGGGAAATCACCGAATTTATATTGAGAAACAAAATTCCGTAAATAGACAATTCTTCGCCCGAGATTTTGAGACGATCTTTGGTTTCCAGAATTATTTTGAAAGTACAGAAGATTAGTCAATCTCATTTATCGAATCGTATACACGAATTCTAGTCTAGATATTAATTTTCCAATGCATTTGGTCGATTCAAATCAATCCATGAATCACCGGTAGTCAGGCATGCGCAGTGATCGCGTATTTGTGTTTTTGTTTACTATTTGAATATCCTCCACGAAAAATGAATCCTTCCTCACCGGACCAAGATTTCAGGTAAAACTTGTAAAACTCTGAATAGAACATGTAGGATATACTCGCAGATGAAAACCTCATTGATAATGGTACAATGAATAAATGTTATGAGCTAACAACATTTAGGTTATATTCAGAGTTGAGGTCTCTCCCAAGTTCTGAATATTAAAGAATTTTTGATTCATTAATTACAGGAACAATGATGCTTGGGAAGACGAAGAAGGAGTGGATGAGAATGAGGTGCCAATGGAACCCACCATGACGGCTGGACTTACTCGTCCACCTCGAATGACAAACAGCCAACTAGACATATTGGTAGATTTTATGTCTATGCACTAGGGGGCTTCGCCCCCTGCTCGCTTCGCTCGCCAATCCCAGGGGGCTTCGCCCCCCCGCTCGCTTCGCTCGCTCCCCCCCAATCCAACTGTCAGCCCCCCCACCGCGTTTGACCCTGGGACACCCTCCTCCCTTCTAACCACCCCGACCTTGGGCACCCCCTGACCACCCCCCCCCCCACCTTTAGGCGTCGCCTGAATTTTTGCGTCGCCTGAATTGTCTTAAATTTTGCCCTTATTTTTTTATTATATAGAGAGATATATAAAATCACCCTGTGACCTGTCAGGATTGGGTTGGCTTGAGTCACATCAGGTCACGTCAGGTCGGTTGGGGTCACGTCGGCTCGGGTCACGTCGGGTCGACTCGGATCACGTCAGGTCGGCCTCAGGACCACATCTGTGTCGCCCCAGGGCCGATCAGTGTCGCCCCAGGGCCGCATCAGTGTTGCCCCAGGGCCGCATCAGTGTCGCCCCAGGGCCGCATCTGTCGCCACAGGGCCGAATCAAGCGTCGCCTGAATTTTTGGGCTTATTTTTTTATTATATAGAGAGATACAGAATTTGCACGGGATGGTGATCTCGGACTTCGGGGACATTCAACAAAGAATGATCTGACAGTAGAGTAAGTTATACTGCTATCACCTTCGCATCTGCCAATGCTATAGTTACCAATTTGTTTCATGTGTAGGCTGGCTGAAACAGTATCATCTCAGGGTTGCAAGAGGACAATCAAGCAGTGCTTAAATGTAATTAGAAATAAACGAATCTGATGGATATAATTTTCTCATTCATCATATTAAATTAACAGGCATGGAATGGTCTAAAAAAAGAGCCTTGGAAAAGCAATCATGTCTAAGGAGGCTTCTACAACAAACTGGGAATCCAACAATTCCCAAGGGAGTGCAATTGAGCCCTAGAGATGAGAAGGTGTTGGCAATCTGGGGAAAATTAACGACAGGGCCGATTGCAGGTGGGAGTGCTGGGTTTCCAAAGAAGAGACTCGTCGAAGTGCAAACATCAAGTGAATCGAAAAAAGGTATGTGATATTATTGATGAAAAGACAAGATTAAAAAATGAACCTCATGAATTACGCCCAATAACGCAATTTTTCAAAATATAACGACACGGATTTCCTTCAACTTGCATAGCTTCATAAGTTCATTCAGTTTGGTTCATTAGTTTAATTAGTTTATGAATTTCAATTGATATAAGGCAATTACTTCTAGCACGGGTGTCCAAGCCAGAGACACGTAAGGCCAAAGCATCGGATGCTTTGAGTCAACTCATGGAGTTTTCTGTGGAAAATATGAATCAAGGACAGGTACGCAGCAAAAACTTCTTATTGTGAGCTGTGTTTTTCGAGTTGTGCAGCAATAATCCATTGTTTCCAGGAGCACACCGGCATGATGCGACAATATCTGCAGTATATGCCTCAAATTGCCCAGGGTATACAATCGTTGCCACAACTTGTTGAAGTGCAAAAAAAGGATGGCAGCTGTCATGAAGACATTCCTGCTACAGCGCGCTGCGATAACTGGAGACTCCAGACTCTACATGCAGAGAGCCGCCGGTAGATTCGTGCAACTTTCAGTCAAATGCAGCGCGATCTTCAATATCTTCGCTGCCTTTCCCAAATTCGTTCTTTGGTCAATTTTCACCGCCTGCAGCAGGCCAACATGAGTTTCCAGTCGGAACATTCACCCCGCCCATCACCAGCTGTCTTGCCTCATCCATCCCCAGATTGCTCATGAGCCCAAGNAGTTTCGTTGAGTTTCCGAACGCTACTTGCCTTCGATTCTGGAGAGGGGGGAAACGACGAGAAGCCAGAAATAACGAATAATAACTCCGAAAGAAATTCTACCCAGATTTATCTAAATCTTCGGAAAAAATTGTAAAAATCCGTATCGTGCTGTGATAAATTATCCTTGGAGTTGATTTCCACAATTAAATCATAATTTCTCACGTGTAAGAGAGACAATAAATGAGCTACTCCAATTCGGTATGTTTACCTTGAACTCATATAAAATGATGATATTATGTGAATAACCCAACTCACTGNCAAACTTAAGTGAGCGAGCCAATTTTATGAACCATTTATTAGTTGCATAGACTTAACAGTCACAGAATAAAACAATACTCATCATAAGAAATAATTATCTATTATATTCTGCCGTAGCTCACGTCCTCTCTGCAAGTCTTGATTTCTTGCTCTTCGTGCAGCAGCATCAGGTGCTCCATCATTTAGGGGCTGCTGTTCATCATGATCTAACTCCCCGAGATCCTCATCTTCATAGTTTAATCTAAAAGTATATGAAAAAAAAAACAGTAACAATGTAAGAACACAACAAATAAATATGTTTCTAGAAATAAAGGCTTACCCGCGTTCAATCGTAATGTTATGAAGGATAGCACAACTTTTAAAAAAATTCACAACTTTCTCCGGTGCATACAACAAGACTCTGTTTTTATAACTCCATGGCGCCTCAACCGGTGCATGCAGAGCAATGTGGGTACAATCAATACATCCAATGATTCCAGGGAAACGTGACTCCGCCTCGAATCTGAACAAAATTAAATATTTTAGTGGATTATTCTACTTTGAGAATTGCTAAGAACTCAATATTAAAACAAGTTGAGAGTTTATACCCTTGGGAAATCTCTTCCAATTTCTGATGAGTTTGAGGGAATTGGAGAAACTCGTCAGTTAATGTAACGATTGCCTCTGCTACATTGGCAATTATTTGACTGACGATGGGTTGTGATACACAAACGTATTTCATGTCACCGATGCACATTTGGAAAGACTCCGATGCATAAAATCGCAGTGTGATCAATATCTGTTTAAAAAATATGTGGCAATTAGTTGCGAATGTTTCAGATTATATTCTGTTACTTGAATATTTGGTTAAATGTATACTATACATTGTCAGACATAATACCTGGGTCCTTTTCGGGATTGTTGACGTAGCACCTTCATCGTTTAATAAGGGAGTGATTCTTCTGATCAACCATAATGCTATTGGTTTCGTTAATCTGAAATATAAAATACAACCTCCTCTCCATAAATTACGAACAAGCCAATTAGAACTGATGAAAAGCAGTGAAATTTCCAAGCTGGGAGAATGACAAATTTATACTCGTTCATCCCCACGTTTATAACAATACTTCATGTTCATAGAAAAATAATTGATTACCGAAATCTCTCTCTAAAAACTGCATCTGTCAACGATTCCAATGGATCGAAAAGATTCCTCACAATTTCATTGCGAGCTCGATTTTCTTGGAAAATGTGTTGATTGTTGGCTGCTTCTATTTCATCCACAGCCATCCCTCCTGCTATCACTGCACCAATAATTCTAGGCAACGCGAACATCACTTTTTAACACTTATTGTTTCGATAATTATTAGAAAAACGTAAAAACTCACAAAACTTTTCAAATGATTCCCTCTTCGGCACCGAAGGTAACTAGCGTTCGGAAACTCATCGAAACTAGCGCAAAGCTCCCCCTGGCGGAGAATTAAACATAAGGATTTTAAGGTACCTTAAACGCGGAGAATTTCACCCCTGTCCACTCGACGCTGTGTGATTTTTAGATTTACCGCTAGGTTGAGCATAGGGGGCTTCCGGGTGGGGGGCATTTGGGGAGGGGGGGTGTGCTGAAGATAATCGTTAGTTGATGGGAATGGGCTTAATGAGGTATTTTTGAAGTTGTTAATTAATTATTCCGAGTTTTGAAGATTTTTTGGGTCGAATTTCTTTAGCAACTGCAGGTAATGCAGATTTCGGTGTTGGGGGAGCATAATTTGTTAGCATTTTCTGGTGTTTTACGGCAGTCTTATTGAACACGTACATGAACTAATTGGGTCCAAGTCATAACTGCACATCGCAGTGGCTGGGCACGAATGCAGAGAACCACTGTGCCCATTGAGTCAGTGTGACCAATGGACACAGTGCAATCCCTGCATTATCGGCCGGCTGCACGACTGAGATTTCCCATGGTTTCTCTGGTAGTCCAATCCCGAATGGGGTGCAATTGGGGATAAAGTACGTCGGCTCATGGTAACGCAGATAGGGAAGGGAACAAAATGTAAAAACCCGAGAGGGTATACATATGGAACCAAAAAAATATAAATTATATATGCGTGCTTGAAATTAACGTTCCATCGGAGAATAATTTTTTAGTACATGTACATGAAAATTCATGCAGGACAGTAAGAAATTTATGACATTCATGTTATCTGAATTCTGTTCACCAGGATAGGAAATGTTGGGTACAGTACTCGAATTGATGTGATATAATTTTATAGTACTATACACTGAAACAAACTCCCTACACGTGTACTCTAAAATCAGCCGGAAATTTTTTAATAATAATTTTTTAAATTAACATTGAATGTCTAACATTAATCATTGAATTACATTTTTGGTGGATTTTTATAAAGTTTTTTTTTCTCTAAATTATACTTGTGAATGATAATTTTTTTTTGGTTTCTATGGCAATCAGTAAGGAACTGTTGAAAAAATGAAATGTTGATAAATTTTTATTTTAAATTATTCTATTCGTTTCAACAAAATTTGTGTCGAAAATTAGTAATCTTAGAGGAGGGTAGGACAAAATGGACCTCGTATTTTTAAAACTTTTTTACAATAATATTAGATGAATCTATTAGAAATATGACGAACATCGTTGGGATGGAAGAAAATAAAGGGTGCACGGTAAAAAAAATTTGGATTGTTAAAATTGGAGTGTCTAATATCTATTTAATATCTGTTCAAGTGTTTAATATCGACTTTTTTTTATTCAAGGAAATGTCTCAATTTTTTAATAAAAAGTACAGCAAATCACGAATTGACACTTAGATTAATTTAGAATAAGAAATTTTCAGAATTGATGATGAGACAGTATAAAATTGAAACGAGAGAAAGCATTATCAAATGCAGAAACTAAACTTATTTTATTTGAATTTATTTTTAAAAAAGTTCCCTCAAGTCTGACTTTTCTTATCCATGTAGTTTTTAAAGGTCATGCGGATCTAGTGTGACGCGAAAACAGGAAACATGTCATAAGAACGTTGCTTGAGATACAAAAATGTTAGAAAAAAATTGAATTTTCATGAACATTTCAATAGTATTTTCCAAGAAAACGATACAGAAATTTTTTAGGGGGAAAAATTCATTAAATTTCAAATTTTACTGATTATTTCCCCCATCACCCTTCTGATGAATAGAATTGCGCTATTTGACGTTCTGTGGACCACTCAGAAGAGAATCATATCAAGAATTTTTCCCATCAAAATTTCAGGCAATATATTGCACACAGAAAAACCTAAACGTAAATTACGTTTCAGAAGTCGTATTTTACGCTTTCGAAAACGTATTTTACGCTTGAAGTTGAAGCGTAAATTACGCTCAAAATCGCCGTAAATTACTATTACATAAACCGTAAATCACGCTCCAAATCGTCGTAAATTACGATTACATAGACGTAATTTACGATCTCGTATTCGTAAATTACGCTCAAAGTTGCCGTAAATTACCATAAATTACCATGATTTTTTTGTATTTTTANAATTCCCCCCCAGTCTTCAGTGACATCCTTTCATCCCGATTCAGTCACTCTAACAACCCAAGACGAATCAACTCATGAGACGAAGCATTTTCATTCGCTGAAGGAGTCTCCAGAACCCGTACACGTCTCCCCTCAACCTGGACATCTCCCAGNTAATTTACGTTTTGATAAACGTAATTTATGTTTTGATAAACGTAAAAGACACTTTGTTTACACTCTTAAACATTTTTGTCTGAATTTTCCGTGCCAAATTCCGGCAATTTTTATTGTGTTTCAAGTCCACTGAAATTTCAGGAAATCTTGTCATTGAAAATTCAGAATCTCGTGGAAAAATAAAACAGAACTGTAAATACCCGTTCCATTTTTCCCTGAAAATGAATAAAAAACCAGAAAATTGTGGTAAATATATTCTTGAATTTTTAGCATCCCAAGTAGGAATCGACGATAAAAACAGGGCTCATGAAGCCCCGGACCAAGGCTTGGAAATGCTCAATCAGGGCTGGGGCTCAGCCTTGGAGCAGCCCTCCTTCAGCCCCAAAATGATAACCTCGTTCCAGACTTAGTCCATAAGGCTTGAACAATGTTTGGTGCCAAGGCTTCNTGTCTCGTGGAAATTCAAAAAAATCGATGTGAAGGATATACCCAAAGGTGTGGTTATCAAAAAACTCCCTAATAGATCTATACTTCTTCAAACACCCCATGGTCCTCTGAAGATGCAGAAATTCGACATGAAATCTATGCCTAAAGGTGTGACCATGAAGAAGGTCTCTCCTGAATCTATGGGTCTTCCAGTACCTAGTGGGTCATGGAAATTGAAGAAAATTGATCTACAAAATATACCCAAAGGTGTAATCGTCAAGAAGCTCCCTTGTCTTCTAACAGCCAACGGGCCTTCCAAAGCCCAGGAAAGTGGAGGACGNGTCCAAGCCTTGAATTACAAAATTTTAAAGGCTCAATCGCACTTCTTTTAAATAAATCATATTAATGTTGGCGAATATTTGTTTAAATAATTTCTTATTGCTTCATAACCCCTTTCATGAATTTAGAGCAACTTATGAAAAAGACTGACGGGACTAGGTATATATGTATAGCTCCTCGTGTAGCCCCTCTTACATATGAAAAGTTTGTTTTATTTGTTCCTCCTAAGGAATCGTTTGTTCGTCCTGAAAACACAGCCATTAT